CCTCTTTCCTCCCCTCCCCTCCCTCCCTCTTTCCTTCCCCTCCCCTGTCCTTCCCTCTTCTCCCCTTCCTTTCCCTCTTTCCCTTCCCTATAGTCCTGGGGATTGGACCCAGGTCCTCATGCATGCCAGGAAAACATTCTATTATTGACCTACAGCATGACCCCTTTGTGCGTTTTTAGACAGGGTCTTACTAAATCATACAGGTTGGACTTGAACTCATTTTGTAGCTCAGACAGATGCTTCTGCCTCATTCTCCCAAGTAGATGAGATTGCAGGCCTGTGTCATCAGTGATGGCCGTATTCTATATTTTAAATAAAAAAATTTAAAATAAAAATTTAATAGCTGTTTTCCTTTGTCGTATTATGGTTCTAAACAAAATCTTCTTAGAACAAGATCTTGCTCAGTTAATTTAGCCTTTGTATTTGAACCATTTAAAGTCATGATATCTCCTCCTTTCTGAGGAAAATAAAAATGGTAGTATGCCTTTTATCTTTTTTTTTCTTCTTTTACAGGCCATCCAGATCCTGAATGGAATACTGATTCTGGCTCTGGGTGTATTTTTGGGTTGTTTACAATATTTGTCCCATTACTTCAGGCATTTTTTCTTCTTCACCTTCTACACAGGCTATCCATTCTGGGGTGCTGTGTTCGTGAGTATTTATTTCCTCAGCCACAAACTATCTCTTATCCTGCACAGCTAGTGTGCTGCAATATGAAAGTGTTCTTTGAAGATTAGCGGCTGTGGTTTTGATTTATAATTTCTGACAAAAGTAGGCAAAATCATTTTTCTTTCTATTTTATAGGAACCACTTCACTTTGTATAACAATTCCCAGTTCCATCCATTTTCCTATGCAAGTTATGGCTTCACTTTTCTTTATGGCCAAATAAAGTTCTGTTATGCATATGCAACACATTTCATTTATCTATTCATGTATTTTTTATTAAGATATTTTCTATTCATTTTACATATCAACAACAGATTCCCCTGTCCTCTCTCCTCCCACCACCCAGCCTTTCCCCCCAATCCACTCCCCCTTTCCCACCTCCTCCAAGGCAAGGTCTTCCATGGGGAATAAGCAGAGCCTGGTATATTCAGTTGAGGCAGGTCCAAGACCTTCCCTCCTGCACCAAGGCATTGATGGGCATGATGGACATGGCCAGTTCTATCTCCTGGGTGGGACTTAGAGTTCTTGGATATGTACACACGTACACACACACACACACACACACAATCCTATAGCTTTGAAGCTTTCTAGACTCAGGAATATAAATTCTGTATGTTTTCTCTTCTATGCAGTGCCTAGATTTTAATTTTTATATATGTGCCTAAATGTGTGTGTGTCAGGGGGCATAAGTTGTGAAACTAGAATAGAGACCAAGAAAGGAGAAAAGAGGTCATAAGGGAGTGAGGAGGAACAAAAGACAATAACAGACTATGTGAGTCATAAAAGTAGATTGAGGGCTGGTATCAGTTCTCAGTCTGATAAAAGACTGTGCATATTTTCAGTTCACAGTGTGAAGCATGTACTGTGGATTTGACATTCCTGAAATTGTGAGATAGTTAATCTAAATTTTTTTGATGGAAGAGCTAAACTCTGAAATATTCCTGAATTGTTCTGCATAATAAATCTTGACAACCCAAGTGAAGAGTTTCTGCTCTGAATTTTAGAAAAGATAGAAAGGAAGAATTTCATGTGTTCCACAAGCACCGTGTTTTATTTTCTTAGAAAGTGAGATTAGTTTATTTTTAAATGGAAGGGAGCCAGAGGGATGGCCTAACACTTAAGAGCACTGGCTGTTGTTCCAGGGGACCAAGCTTCGTCCCAGCACCCACATCTGTAACTCCAGTTCTAGATCTGATGCCCTCTTCTGACCTCTACAGGCACTGCACATATGTGTGTAGACATACATGCAGGCAAAACACTCACACACATAAAATAAAATTTAAAAAGGGAAGGGATCAGGGAGCCCTTTGGTGTCACTTTAGCATCACCAAAAGATTGGATCATTGATTCCAATTCTAGAAGCTTCTCTCTGGCTTGGAGACTCTTTCAGGGCAAGTCCAAGGCATATGACCCATTCTCCTTATCTGCCCTTGCCTCCTCCCTACCGTGAACATGCCTGCTGTGTGCCCACTATATACAGTGCTTTCTTTCTATTGCTTCATCTTTTAGAATCCTATCAAGGATGTGGTGCTAGAGATTAAATTGAAATTTTGCCCTCAGTTTCCTTATTGGGCTGTCAGAAATAGCAAAAGGATCTTCTTTTGGGAATCTCTGGAATTAAATGAGAGCTATATGTTATTGTTAATTTGGATGCTTTCTGTATCCTGGGCAAACAGGTACCCCATTTTTTTGTATCAATCATTTTAGCACCACACAGCTGTTAGTAGGTGATATTAACATGAGGATATGATGTTAGATGGGGGAAAGAAGCTGAGGTGAAGAAATGCTTAGTAATCTACCCATGAGATGAAGCTGGTATTGAAAACAAAAGTGCTCTTTTATGAAGTACAGTGACAGGAAGACGTGTGATAATCTCTTTTAATCTGAGGCAGAGCTCAAAGCCTGTTCCTGTGTTTTCTTTTTTATTCTTTTCTCATACATTATATCCCAACCATAGTTTCCCCTCCCTCCATTTCTCAGTGTCCCCTGCTCCACCAAGATTCACTCCTCCTCCATTTCCCTTAAAAAAAAAAAAAGCAGGCCTCCCAGGGATATCAACTGAACATGTCATAGCAAGTTACAATAAGATTAGGTACAAAACCTCATATCAAGGCTGGATGAGGCAACCCAGTAGGAAGAAAAGGGTCCTAGCACAGATAAGAGTCAGAGATACTCCCCACTCCCACGGATAGGAGTCCCAGAAGAACACCAAGCTACATAATATATATGCAGAGGACCTAACTCAGACCCATGCAGGCTCTGTGAGCCTCATGAGCCCTGCTTAGTTGATTCTGTGGGCTGTGTTTTCCTACTGTCCCTGACTCCTCTGGCTCCTACAATCCTTCCCCTATCCCTCTTCTGCAGGGTTCCTCTGGCTGTAGCTAGTGTTGGCTGTGGGTCTCTGCATTTGTTCCCATCAGTTGGTGGATGCTGCCTCTCTGATGACAATTGGACTAGGCACCAATCTATGAGTATAGAAGAATATCATTAGGAATCATTTCATTGACTTTCAGAATTCAGTAGTTGAATTTTATTTAGCAAGCCTTTATTCTCCAACATTTGGTAACTTGGTAAAGGATTCTAAATCTTACCAATTTAAAATATGGTTTGGATAATCATAAATATATAGAAAATTCTATTTATCAAAATTAGAGTCATGGAAATAATGACACATTAAAACGGTGATTTAAAAACTAGAGAATACAGAGATGGCCATTTGGATTTATAAATTCTCTTTTGAAGCATCTAGACAGATAAATCAGATGCATGGGCAGTGATACAAGAATTTTAAAAATGTATATTAACATAAACAAGAGCATAACTATAGTATTCATTATTTATATCAATATATAAACCTGTTAAAAGCTAGACATAAACAAAATGAAATTATGATGAATTTACTTAGAATATGAACTATGTTAAAATTTTAGTCATATAAAATAATGAGTAATATAAAACACACTTTGTGTAAATTTGTGTAACTTCTGTTAGATAACTACTGTCAAGGGAATGCTGAGGAGAAAGTGGTCAAGACTAAATGTCCCTTTGTCTGTCTTACTTCCTATTTTAAACAGTTTATCAGCTCGGGATCCTTGACTGTTGCATCAGGGAGAAAACCCACAAGAATGCTGGTAAGTGCAGTTCTTCCTCTTTTTCTCTGTGACCAGAGGAGCAGAAACAAACCACTCATCAATAGTGGGAAAGCAGAGGTTGGTGAACCCAGCTGAGGAATCAAGTCTCATTTAAGGTGTGTGTGTGTGTGTGTGTGTGTGTGTGTGTGTGTGTGTGTGTGTGTGTGTGACACACAGTCAATTTTCTTCCAGCATTCAGTGGTAGACAATAAGGGAAATCAGATAAACCGTGAATACTCATATCTGGGATTGTTATTCTGAATAGCTAGCGCATCTGAAGCTTAGAAGCAGGCTCCATAATTTTTGTGTGTTGTTAGGTTTAACAAAGTATTTTTAGTGAATGGGCTTTCACTACTACATCACAAACTGAAAGCAAAAATTTCTATCCTTTTAATCCTTTCTTTCTTCCTTCCTTCCTTCCTTTCTTCTTTTCCCTCCCTCCCTCTCTCTTTTCTTTTTCTTTCTTTTTCTTTCTTTCTTTCTTTCTTTCTTTCTTTCTTTCTTTCTTTCTTTCTTTCTTTCTTTCTTTCTTTCTTTCTTTCTTTCTTTCTTTCCTCCCTCCCTCCCTCCCTCCCTCCCTCCCTCCCTCCCTTCTCTCCCCCCTCTCTCTTTCTTTCTTTTTCGGGACAGGGTTTTACTGTGTAGTCCTGGCTGTCCTGGAACTAGCTCTGTAGACCAGGCTGCCCTCAAACTCACAAAGATCTGCCTGCCTCTGCCTCTTAAGTGCTGGGATTAAAGACATGAGCCACCATTACTTGGCCCTTTTAATTATTCATTACAAAGTTACTAACTCTCTGTGTGTTCTCTGAGTTATCTAGCCATTTAACCCCTGTCTGTTCTGTTTCCCTTGTCCTGTCATGGCTGCTTCATCATAATATTCCATCCTCAAACACCCATCTTTTTCTCTCATCCCCACTCCATGATGATGGGCTTGCTCCCTGTTCTGAGAAACTGAAGTTGTGGAGAGACTTTCAGACACACACACTATAACATCTGTGTGTGCACTAGATCTGCTCCAGTGTATGTTTCCCTCCAGCCTTTGACCATGGGGGAACTTTTTAAAGCTAATCCTTCTACTTGGGTGTTCTAGACCATGTCCTTTCCCACTATGTAAATTCATCACTCCAATTTGTCCCCATTCAGTCCTTTAAATTAGCATATAAGCACATTACTATCTATCTATCTATCTATCTATCTATCTATGATCTATGTATCTATGTATCTATCTATCTATCTATCTATCATTTCTATCTATCTACCTATCTATCTATCTATCTATCTATCTATCTATCTATCTATCTATCTATCTATCATGTATCATCTATCTATCTATCTATCTATCTATCTATCTATCTATCTATCTATCTATCTACCTATCTCATCTCGGCATTATTTTTTCCTGTTGTGGAATAACCATTTTGTACACTGTGAAGATGTGCCACTCAGATTGGTTTAATAAAAAACTGAATGAATGGCCAGCAGCAAAGCAGGATTTTCAGGGCAAGGGGATGCTGGGAAGAAGAAGAAGAAGAGCTGAGTTTCCAGCTAGACACAGGAAGCAGGAAAGCAGCATGGACAGTACAGAGTAAAGGTAATAAAGCCACGAGGAAGAAAGTAAATTAATAGAAATGGGTTAATTTAAGTTAAAAGAGCTAGTGAGTCAAGCCTAAGCTATAGGCTGAGCTTTGATATTTAGTAATAAGTCTCCATGTCATTTTTCATGAGCTGGCGGCCCAAAGAAAAATCTGCCCACATTTTCCTGATAGCCAGGTGCAGTTTATTTTTCTGTTTGTGCCTAAACTCTATTTTTTTTTGGTTTTTCAAGGCAAGGTCTCTGTGTGTAGCCTTGGCTGTCCTGAAACTTGCTTTGTAGACCTGGCTGGCCTCGAACTCACAGAGATCTACCTGTCTCTGCCTCCAAAGTGCTGGGATTAAAGGCATCTACCACCACTGCCTGGCCCTAAACTCCATTTTAAAAGGAATTATTCATACTCTGTCTCCCATTCTTGTCTGTTCTGTTGCAGTTAAATCTTCCCAATTCTTTACTTCCTGTCCTCTGTAGCTTCTCTCCTTAAGAATATTGAAAGTGTCCAGGTTGCTAAAACAGTGCTCAGTTCTTGTCCGTCACCTGACTTTACCTATGGGCAGCATTAGCTCACCTCCTCTCCTGATGTTTTTTCTCTTGGGCTCCAGCACATCTCAATAGTTCCTCCTGTCCTTTACAGTCTTCTTCCCCAGTTCCTTTTATTTAGACTGCTTAGTGTTGGGTGCTCAATGTTCCTATCTTTGGCAGCTACCTGTGGTGATATTTTATTTGTGCTTTAATAAAAAAAGCTTGCCTGGAGATCAGAGGAAAAAGCCAGCCACTATATTAAACATAGAAGTCAGGCAATGGTAGCACATTCCTTTAATCCTATCATTCAGGAGGCAGGGATCTGTCTGTATCTCAGTGAGTTCAAGGCCACACTGGGAACAGAGCCAGGTGTGAAATTTCAACAGTAGTTAACCATAAAGGTTGTACAAACAGACAGGAAGTGACAGAACTGGACAGGAAGAAGAAGTGATGTAGCTGGACAGAAAGAGCAAATGAGATAGCAGAGCAGAAAGGCATACAGGTGTGAGTATACAGGAAGTAGGTCTCTTTGGAAACTGAGAGTTGGTAAGGTGAGGTTTGCTTGTGACTTTTCCTATTCCTCTGATCTCTCAGGCTTTAACCTCCATATCTGGCTCCAGTTTTTTTTTGTATTTAATAAGACCTTTTAGCAATTTGTCTACAGCTAACCTGCTCAGTCCATATTTACTTCAGTGATTTCAGCCATTTTCATTGCTTCAAATGATACCTCTATGGTCACACTCCTGAAATACATGATCCTGCCAAGATTTTTCTCCTGAGCAGCAGATTGGATCATCGACTTTGCTTCCACTTAGAAGTCTGAAAGGTCTGAAACTTAACTTAACCTATCCCTGGAACCTGTTTGGTGACATCTCATCTTCATGTCAGCTGATGGAAATCTCATCTTTCCAGATTCTTAGGCTGATAATATGAGCATATCCCAATCTCTTTTTTCACATTCCTGAAGCTAGTATTTCAGCAAATCACCTGGGCTCCATCATCAAGTTAAGCTTGTGTTTGGCCTTTTCTCATCTTTCCTCTGATGGTATTCTAGGTAGTCTTTTAAGTGGGCTCTCTGCTTCCATTTGTGAATCTGATATTTCCTGTTCTCAACAAAGACAAAGTAACTCTTTTTAGGCTATTGATCTGTCACCTCTTTGCTCAAAATCCTTCAACAATTTTATATTTTTCTCAGAATTAGAACTCAAGACTTCTTTTTCATGAATTACAGGGCTCTATATCTCTATTAATTTTGACTTAGTTTCCTAATCTTACCCATCTTGGCTCTCTTGTATCCTGGGGACACTGTGGCCTCAGGGACTTTGAACTGTATTTTTTACCCAGACTTCCTCTGGACCACCTGGGGAAATGCTCAATTATATATCCCTGATTCCGTATGTTATTATTACTTAATGTTACAAACCTCCACTCCTTTCACAAGATTTCCATTCTTCTTATACCATTCTATTAGCCTCAATACTTAGTTACTTGAAAATATGGCATAATTTATATGCTAGTGTATTTTCTTTTTAAAATTGAGATAGGGTTTCATACATTATAGGGTAGCTTTGAATTTTAATTTCTACTATCACAGAGTACTGGAATTACAGGCATCCTCAACAACACCCAGTTTATGCAGTACTAAAGATTGATGCCGGGGCTTCATACATGTTAGGCAAGTGTTCTACCAACTGAGCTGTGTATCTCAACCTCTTTGTCTTAATTGCTAGATTGTACCAAGGGGAAATCTTTGTTCATGGGAGCTTGCGCTGCATCTATAATGCTGTTGGGTGTGTAAATAGATACTTCTTTAAATGGAATGTTGCCAAGGTGTTAAAGGATGTTCTACATATATTAATGAACTATTTTTTTTATTTTAGATGCAAAACAGTTTTGGGATGAACATTGCCAGTACTATAATTGCATTTGTTGGGACTGCTTTCCTTTCTGTACATTTGGCAATCAATACCCAGGCTTTCAAGAGTTGCCAGTCTTCACAGTCACCTGACTTATGCATTTACCTGGGATCCACATCAAATGTATGTTTTAAAACTGCTAATAACATATTTCAAACCATTCGAAATACACAGAAAAACAGTGTGTTATGTACTATGTTAACCTGAATGTTGGCTTTGCTCTGTATTAGTTTTGTAATGAAGGGTACATTAGATAAACTGTCTATATTTTAGCTTTCTTATCTTTGAAGTGAAAATAATGATGAGTAACACCCATCTAATGGATTGGTATAAAACTCAATATGTTAATATTTGATAAATAATAAAAACAGGGCTTAACTATCATGTTGTAATATTATTACTACTATTTATTATACTCTCCAGAGAGAATACAATAACAATCTATTTCACATACCTCTGTTTGATGAAACAAACTTCAGAGACACACAGCTTATTCTGCAGTCTGGAATGTTTGGTCATATTAACACACTTTATCAACTAAACCACATCTATCTTTATTTATCTGTTTGTCTGTCTGTCTGTCCATCCGTCCATCTGTCCATCCATCCATTCATCTGTCCGTCCATCTATCCATCTACCCATCCATCCATCCATCCATCCATCCATCCATCCATCCATCCATCCATCCATCTATCTTTCTTTCATCTATCATGTATTAATTTCTGTAATTTATTATATTGATAAGTGTTAGTGATAGTGTCAGAAATTTTCTTCTATGATTTCTTCTCCCTTTGACTAGTTAACATAGGTTAATGTAGAAATAACATATGTCTTTCTCCTGGGACAATATTTTTATGATTTTGGATTGATACTGGATCTCTTCTTCAGAATTTGTGTGTCTGCACCTTCTGTCTAATTTGTATCTCACTTTATTCCCTGCTGAGGGTTTTGCAGTCTGTTTTGTTTTTTCTGACAATTTTCCCCACTGAATATTTCCACTGATTTGATCTGAGGCATCATTTCCCTAGGGCCTTGTGTCTCTACTGTTGATCTTCACCCTGCTGGAGCTGGCCATCACCATTTCCATCTCAACCATATGGTGCCTAGGAAATGTTTGTGGTTCAAGAGAGGTGAGTTTGTGTAAATGATGAGCAAGTTCTATCATCTGCAAATTCCACAATGTGTGAAGTAATTTCTAACTTTCAGAATAAGAAACTTTTATATGGTTATGATTAGTAGGGTTCTGGGAATTATTTATTAGATCAAAATGTGAGATGAAGTAAGGCTGGAAATGATTCAGATTTGAAAATGAAAGCTATATATTAATATATATTTTAATGTGGTTAAACTAATTTTAATTTTTTTTTTTTTGGTTTTTCGAGACAGGGTTTCTCTGTGTAGTTTTGCGCCTTTCCTGGAACTCACTTGGTAGACCAGGCTGGCCTTGAACTCACAGAGATCCGCCTGGCTCTGCTTCCCGAATGCTGGGATTAAAGGCGTGCGCCACCACCGCCCGGCAATTTTAATTATTTTTTATAAGTTTTTACTTTTGAGCTGTACAACTCAGGTGGTCACATATTCTTGCTAGATATTTAGAGCTTCTAATTTGGGTTCTTAAAATTTTCTACTTTCAATTTCTTTTTGCCCAAGAAAGCTTTACACAGCCCTACATATGTAGGTATACAAAATAGGTATTCAGATCAAACATTTATGGGTAATAAATAATAAAGAAATTTATTTAAAACAATTAGTTGCTATGTAATTTTACTACTTATTAAAGACCAAAGCAAATTTGCATATTAATGAAATAAATGTGCTTGTTTATGTTTCCATAATAATGAAATCTTTGATATATATTAGATGCTTCAGGATGGAGATCATCTTGTTTCTGAGAGTTGATTAATATTCTGATTTTATTATTGTCAAGGCTGAGAATAGTGCTTTGTAACACATAGTACAAAATGACAGGAATATGTTTAGTATATTTACAGTCATTTTGAAAACTGCTGAAAATCCTATTCTAATCCTGAGTCAAAATTCATTCAACAATGTTTTTTGAAACAAGTCAACAAACAGCAACTTTTAAAATCAAACACTCTGACATAAAGCAACCCAAATATGTGCTAATTTGATGCTTACATGCTAAGGAAGAATTGTAGAAAAAAATTACAGGTTTTTGCTATCTGTAGTTACACCAGTATGCTTTTATGAAGTGAGGTTGCTGCCATTCATACCATACAAAGAGTATACAACCTGAGCAATACCCACTGGTGTTTGGTGGTGTGGCAACAGCATGCTGTGTGTTCAGAACCAAGTCCACAGTGAAGGCATGCAATTCAACAGGGGCAAGCATGACCAGAAACACCTTGGATAGGTTATACGTTTGATTTTTTATTGATTTTCCTCTTCACAATCTCCATATTCAGTTCTGAAACCACATACGTAGCAGCAACCCATAGAAATGAAATAAAAATGTTTTGTTTGTCTCCTTATTCATATGCATATAACTATTATTCAGTGTTTAACAGAGTAATCATCAGTGAAAGAATATCTGTGGGTCTGTAGTAGTGATCATGGTGGCAATAAGGAAGGATGGCGTGGACAGGGGTGATGATGATCCTCTTATTGAGAACTGATGTCTCATTTTCTAGGCAATTTCTTCACCTCCTAATTCTGTGGAATCAGGAATACCCCCTGATAGAAGTGATTCTGAGAGAACCTGAACACTCAGCCTCAAATCACCACAGAGTGAGAACTTCACTTGAGAACTCAGGCGAGAATGAACAGATAGAATGCAACCCTTCTGTCATGGCACTATCCATGAGAAAGCTGGGCATCTGTTCCAACCCTTCTCCCTTTCCTGTTAACCCACTAGCATGTTCTAGATCTGGATGAATAAATATATTTCCTTAGACATTCCTGGATTCCTGGATTTTGCAGCTTCTATGGTCATTCTTCCAAAGCTGTTTCCAGATCTCTCTCTCTCTCCCTCCCTCCCCCGCCTCTCAACACAGTGTCTCATGTCCTGTAGGCTGGCTTCCAACAAGTCTGGGTTTGAACTACTGATTTTCCCAAGTTTCAGGATTAGAAGCATGCACATGCATCCCTAGTTTGATATTTTATACTCACAGTCCTCCTCCCAGCTGCTAAGATTACAGGCATGAGCTACCACATGCAGCTATAATCCCTATTGTGTGCATTTTCCACAAAATCCAAATTGCATCTACCTCATGGGAAGGAGAATGAGCCAGATTTTTTTTCAGCACAGAAAAAAAATGCTCTTGATTTTGGCTGATATCAGTATTACAATCTAGAAAGTAAAACAAAAACAAAACAAAGCCAATGTGATTAATTTACACTTTACTATCCTTGAAATTTAAAGCTTTGTTTTTTATTTCACTTGTGTTCTGGGAGTCACACATGTCCCAACACAGTGGTGGTTTGGATTAGTGGCTTTTGTTCCTCAAAGGACCTTGGCAAACTATAAAGTAGAGACATGAACAGCAAGGACAAATTTGACAGATCTGGGGTTCAAATTCAGGTTATATCATTTACTAACATCTGTATGGCCATTTTTTTCATTGATTCTACTTCTATTATGTTATAGATAATCTACTTCCTTTTATTTGAATATGTCTTCAAGCATCCCTTATCAGAACATATTAACAGTGTACAAGGACATTGTGATTTTATCACTAGCATCCCCTATATCCTGAATTGACAGCCACCTTCAGTCTTTGGTGGAACTGACCTCACTTTGAGGTTCAGGGACACATTCTGAATGATCTATCTCTATTTAGATACTTACCTTGATGACTGTGTTGGTCCACGGCATCTCCACAGACAACAGTTTGGCTCTAGTGTGGAGCCATCTCCACTAAGATGGAGACTTTATAACTTTCTCATAAAATATATAACTCAAATATAACTGGAAATAGAAGCCATTAGGAGATAACGACTTAAGGTTGCTGAATCACTAAGCTGAAGGCCACACAAGAGAAATTCAAAAAATAGAAATTGACTTTAACTTAAACACTGCTGGGATTGGCATCTAGAATCTGATGTCTCTTGAGTTCATGATGTGAGTGTATGCAGGCCAGGGGACAACCCCAGGGGTCATGCCTCATTTTTTTGAGTGGATCTCTCACTGGAAGTAGGGCTCATCAATTAGGGTCAGCTGGCTGGCGAAGGAGCTCCGAGGATCTCCCTGTCTACTCCTTGCCACTGCTGTGATCACCAGGGTATGCCATCACACCTGGATTTTATTTCAGTTTAAAAAATTTACTTAAAAAAACCCATGTCTTTGTGCTTGCACAGTGAGCACTTTATGAGTTATCTCACTAGACCTGTATGTTGTTGTCAATAATTTCCATTTTTGTTGTTTGTTTCCTTCAATTTTTCAAGTTTCCCCAACTCTTGCTATAGTCAATTTAACTTTTAAGTAAGATTTATGCATTTTCCTTTTTGTAAAAAAAAAAAAAAACCTTTCTTTCCTCAAGGTCTGAGATATTGTTTCACTTTTTATTATTATATTTTTAAATGTTTTAAGTTATGAATTTCATTTTCATCCATAGAGAATGACATTATTGTACTGTTATTATTATAACATCCTTGTAGAAAGCTAAACATTCTAGAACTTTCCACTAAAATGTTGCCATATTCAGATACAGAATTGTACACACACTTCCTATTTCAGTGACATTTCCCCCTCTTGTTAGGATAATACATTATTGTAGGTTAATAATATCACTTATATATTTTTACTATCTAGGACAGATTTCATCTGTATTTTTTTCATGATTTGCTTGTTTATTTACATCTATATGTTTTTTTTTAAAATAACTTGTTAACATTCTGGTTATATATGAAAAATTTGACTTAACATAATTTTAGAACATCTTTTATTTATTCTTTGAAGATTTTTGTCCATGTATACAATGTATCTTGATGAAACCCACCCCCAGTTCCTTCTTCCCACTCCTTCTGGACAATCCCTAAGTTTTCTCTCTCCCCCTTCACATTCCCTCTATTTCTCTCTTTCATTTTGTAATACACCAGGTCCATTTAGTGCTGTTATAGGCATGCTGACTTATCTTGTTGCCTTGACCTTATGCAGGTCTTGTGCAGTTATCCATAGATCATGAGTACAAGATTTTGTAAGCTAAATTTTTTATTTAAAAAGCAAGACACATAGGATGGAAAATTACTTAAAAGTTCTGGAATTATAGTGGAATCAAAAAATGGACTTGGTTAAACATTCAGATGTAATGATTTTAGGATCATGGGTAGGGGAATGTTTAACTTAAGAAAGCTGTCATGGCAGCCATTCATGACACAGTATGACAGAAGATATGTAAACCTTGTCTGTGAGTCTAGAGCTCATGATATTCCTTATCAGGAGATATTCTTATTTCTTAAAGTACAAACATATATCATGCTTACTTTTCCCATGAGAAGCATCCTTTTGTGTAGTTGAATATATATACATATATTTACTCTTTGGAGGCCTGCCGCCCAGCACCCAAATAAATACACACAGACTTATTTTTATGAATGCCTGGGCTTATCTTGGCTTATTTCTAGCTAGATTTTCTTAAATTATTCTTTCTGCCTTTTGCCTCTGGGTTTTTACCTTTCTCTCTTCTATACATCTTTCCTTCTTAGTCTGCGGCTGGTTGTGTGACTGGGTGGCTGGCTTCCTCCTCTCCTCCTTTTCTCACTTCCCTCTTCTTTTGAACCTGTATTTCCCCTCCTATTTATTCTTTCTGCCCAGCGTCCCAGCCTATCCCTTTCCTGCATAGCTATTGAGCATTCAGTTCTTTATTAAGCCAATCAGGTGTTTTAGGCAGGCAAAGTAACACAGCTTCACAGAGTTAAACAAATGCAACATAAAAACCTGCAACACATCTTTGCACCATTAAACAAATGTTCCACAGCATAAATGAATGTAACTCATCTTAAACTAATATTCCACAACACTTTTGGATAACAGAGGGTATATGGACAGATAAGAATTAATATGAGTTAGATGATCACCTTGGAGTTAACTGGCCCATGAGTTGTAACACCAGACAAAAGCTGTCTACAGTGAGGATTCAGGGAAACTTTAGAGCCAGCATGAACTGCATGAATCTTGCTCTGAACATTTCTGAAGTCATATGGGTAAAGAAATGAAGATTTTCCCTTAAAGTTTGCACTCAGTACTTGAACTCTTAGAGCCGTTTGTCCTATGACCATTTCTGTAATCACATTTCCCATGAAACACTGGAGCTTGATGTCATTCTAAACTGTTTCATTCTAAATAATATTACATATGTATAAAAATCATTTCTTTTTTCTGTTTGCATGTGTGAATACACCCATGGTGTGAATATGGAGGTCAGAGGACAATGTTGTGGAATCAGTTCTCTGCCACCATGTGAGTTCCAGGGATTGAAACCAGGCCCTCAGGATTGGCAGAAAGCATCTTTACCCACTGAACCTCCACCCCAGGCCTCTTAGTCACCTATTTTGAACACAGACTTGGCTCTAAGTTGTGGAAATGTGAATATAAGACAGGAAGGAAGAGATGAAAGGGGAATGTGGAAAAAAGGAAGATGAGAGATGAGAGAGACAGAGGTTGTAATTCCTTGGTGGAAAGTACCAGAAAATACCCTCTAAAGATAACCTAATTAAAAAGCTTTCACACCGGGCGGTGGTGGCACATGCCTTTAATCCCAGCACTGGGAGGCAGAGCCAGGCAGATCTCTGTGAGTTCGAGGCCAGCCTGGAAAAAACTTTTCACATGAAAATTTGTGCATATTTATTTTAAATAAATTTAGCATTTATTTTGAGAAAACATTTTCTCATGAGGGATTTAAAAGTGAATTTCTTTTGAATTTGGGGACACACCCTTAACCAAGGAGCTGTTTGTAATTGATACCTGCTGCAAGAAGGAAAAACAGTTTTGTCCAGTGGGGTGATTTTGGGTATCAACCCACTCTGGGGAAGGTTCCATGCTTAGGATTAGTGGACCAACACAAAACAGCTCGATGTTTTTTGTTGTTGTTGTGTATTCTTTTTTGTTTGTTGTTTGTTTTTTTTCCTATTTTTGGTGGTTTTTTTTCGTTGTTTGTTTTGAGAGAAAGAGAGAGAGAGAAGGAACATCAAGTTGGGTTTGTCAGGAAGTAGGGAGGACGTGTGAGGACTTGGGGGGAGGAGAACAAATATAATGAAAATACTTTCTATGAAAATTAAGAAAAATAAAAAAATATAATAAAAAAGATCTAGTATCTAAACTGTAAGTATTCCAGCTCAGATGGAAAAGTATCCTGGCAGTCGGGAGCCAAGGAATACCACAGTCACTGTAAGTGTAGCAGCTTATAGTTATGCTCCAGGGAAAGGTTTCCCCAATGTAAGTACAACTCTGCTCCACTAGCCAAAAGTTTCCCCAGTGAAAGTGTTACAGTTCTGCTCCACTCCACTCTACTCTCAGAGTGTAACAGTTCTTTTCCACTAGGGAAAAGTTTCCCCAGGGAAAGTGTTTTCTCTGAGGCTCTGGTGAAAATTGTTACCACTGGGCTCAGCTCTGGCAAAAATGTCAAACCACACAACAAACCTCACTCAAGAGATTGATTAAGAAGGAAGCATCCAGGATGGTGGCTGCCTCTAGGGTGAGAAGCAGCAGCAAACTGAACAGGGTACAGAGCTTATATAGGGTTTCTTGAGGGCGGGGAGCTTTCCAGGGTGGCTTGGGATTGGTGGATTTTTATAGCCTGATTCTGGGGCAAGCTCAGGAATTGGTAGGATTTCAAGCCCTGGTTCTGGGTTCATGTCAGGGTCAGGGTGTTTTTCCTGGGCCCTGGTCTCTAGTCTAGTTAGGGACAGGTTGTTTTTTTCCTTGGCCCTTTTCACCTTACACTAACTAAATAAACAAACTTGATAGTCAAAAAGAAAGCCAGAGCCAGAGGCATGTGAAAAGTCGGTGTGTGCCAGAGAAGAAATGCTATGTAGTGGGGAATAAATGATAACTGTTATCTCTTCCTTCCAGGCAGACATATGGTTAAAACTCATCTTGATAATAGTGGCCAGCCCAAGAGGAAGTAATTTGATCATATGTTCTGATACTCGCTGTTATGGAAGGGGGAACAACATGGCTGTGGGGAAGTGGGCTATGAGTACAGGATGTGCTTAGTATCTCAGGAAGGGTGAAGCTGTTGATAAACACTGGGGCATGAAATAATTGGGAGGTCATAAGTCACCTTTCAGTACTGTATTTGCATCATGAGTTGCTGTTGACCATTCTCATAGAACAGCGTTACGTCCAAACATGGAATGCCACCTCAGTCTGTTAACTGTCCAAATCTTAAACAGGATTCTGATTTTTTTGTTGTTGTTGAATATAAATCTTTAGATACTACTAGGAGACACCGTAAAGGACCACTACATTGCTTCAGGGCATCACCCTGCAGACATGTATGGTTTTGCAAAGGTTGGGTAGGGGAATGAGATTTCTAAGCCAACCGTTTAAAGTCTAGGTTCAAATATCACCTTCCCTGGCAGTTCCTTCTCTGAACTCTATGCATGCTCCATCAGGCAGTACTGTTGTAACCTCTTTCACATTTTAGCAGTCTCTGACCTCTGACCTGCTGGATAATCATTTTTCTTTGTTCTCATCTATAATACTGTGGCATAGATAAGTCTGGGATCATGGTCCTCAATAGTGCCTGCTCCATGCTATGAGCAGTCAATAGCATTAAGTCCTTTCTGTATGAAATCTGGGATCATGGGCCTGCTCCATGCTATGAGCAGACAATAGCATTAAGTCCTTTCTGTATGAATGAATAAGAAGATGGGGCTTACTCCTTAATTCAAATAATGTTGTTGTCAGATTCACTGATTCCCAAAGATACAGAGGAAAGAAAGTAGAGCTGGGGCAATGAAATTTTCTTAGGAAAGATTTGGCAATATGTACATTAGAATCCTCTATTAATATACATATCTTGATTTCTCTTGAGATATTTTATATCTCAGGAAAATAACTCAGGCAATTAGGGTATCATGCATAGTATCTTGCAATAATAAAAAAGCATTCATAGAATTAACTGAAATATAAGCAAGGCAGACCTGTGAATTCCCCTTGTTTGTTGTTTTCTGGGGTAGTTAGTTGAGAGAACACTTTGTCTGGGCAAACATATTGCTCAGTTCCTACCTTTTAGATTTGCTCATAACATTTCTGTTTATGAATTCACATCCCTCCATATTTTCCTTGTCTTGTTCTTACCATTATAAAGATTGCAGCAGTTGCCATGGAAACATTCAGATAAGGCATATTTCTTTTTTTTAATTAAAATATTTTTTATTCATTTTACATACCAACTGCCAGGGGCCCCTCAAACAGACCCAGCTACACAACTGTCTCCCGTATGCCAGGGGTCTTGTCCAGTCCCATGCAGGTTCCATAGCTGTCAGTCTAAAGTTTGTGAGTTCCTTTGAGATTGGTTCAGTTGTCTCTGTAGATTTCCCTATCAGGATCTTGACTCCCACCCCTTGCTCACATAATCCCTCTTCCCTCTCTTTGACTGGACTCCCAGAGCTTGGCCTGGTGCTTGTTTGTGGATCTCTGCATCTGTTTCATCAGTTACTGGATGAAGGCTCTATGATGACAGTTAGGGTATTCACCAATCTGATTGCCAGGATAGGCTAATTCAAGCACTCTCTCCACTATAGCTAGGAGTCTAAGCTGGGGTCATCCTTGTGGATTCCTGGGAATTTCCCTAGCACCAGGTTTCTCCCTTACCCCATAATCTCTCCCCCTATCAAGGAACATGAGGGAATGGGATTATCAAGCTGGGGGAGGGATGGAATGGGAGAACAATGAAAGGCATATTTCTTTCTTTTTTTTTTTGTTTTGTTTTTTTTTTTTTTTGGTTTTTATTATTATTATTATTATTATTTTACAACACCATTCAGTTCAACATAATAGCCACAGAATCCCCTGTTCTCCCCCTCTCGCCCACCCCTCCCCCCAGCCCACCCCCCATTCCCACCTCCTCCAGATCAAGGTCTCCCCCGAGGACCGGGGTTGAGAAAGGCATATTTCTTAATTCAAATAATACATTGGTTAGTTTCAGTGACATGGGGGTCCTGTTTTCAAGATCATTTGCTGCAGATAGAAAATACTATCTGGGAGATAGGAAGAGAGAATGAGAAGGAGGTGAGGAAGAGGGAGGGAAGAGGAGTGGGAGCGGAAGGGGAAGAGAGGATGCGAAGTCCAGATTCATTTTGAAATTTAGACTAGTGCTAATACACACATTTCAGCTTTGAGGCCACACATGAAAACAAACTGAAGAACTCGTGACATAGCAGATGAAGTTTCTAAAGAGCACATCTATTTTTACTTCTCTCTTTTATCCTCTCAGAGCCTAGATGCTTCACTATTAGGTTCCATTAATCCCGCTTCTCAGGCAGAATTGTGCTCTAAAATGCTCAAGTTTCTCCGTTCATCCTGCTCTCTATTCAGTAGATGTGTCAGTCTTATTACTTTCCATTATAGCAAGAGAAAAGAACCACTGATATCAATCAGCTGGGAGACTTATCTGCATGAAGATAGCCATTTGTATTCAGTGTCAGCCCATCTTAACTGCCCACCCAGAGCACACCACATCTCTGCACAACAGTATCCTTCATTCCTGGGTAGCTCAGTTCATGAAAAAATGGACACAGAAAATCAGAGCAGAGCAGATCTTGCTCTCCCAAATCCACAAGAATCCCCCAGGTAAGCAAAGACTATTGCTTTTTCCATTGAAGTTATTTATTCAAGACAGAGAAATTCACAGTGCTGGGCAGACAGATGCCAATTCATAGATTGGTTCACAGACTCGTTAAGTTACTTAACTGTGCTGATTACACATTCTTAGTGTCTTTTTCTCTCAGAAGTTGGCAGCAAGGTTTTTACTTGGCTTGAAAACTGAGGATACTATATTTTTCTAACACTAGAGACTTATGGTTTGGGGTATGAGATGGGGAGTTTGAACATACAGATCTCTTACCTCTATGTCTGATATGTGTTATAGGGGTCAAAGGCTTTCTAAGATGTCGGCATTCCAGGTTGGCTTTTGTTAAATTTAGGGCATGGAATCCTGCACCCAAGATTAAAATAGGAATGGAGATTGAACTAATCCCTCTGTGTGTGAAGTTGTGTGCATTTGACAAAACATACACAGATACATTTCTATGCTAAAATAACTTTGAAGTTGACAGACAAGCGTATTTGATTGTTTTTGTTTTATAGATAGAGATTGGTAGAAGGAACTTATGGCAACTTGAGATGAGCAAGAGTATGAGGCATGGTTTTTGTTCTATTCTGTTCTATATACACACTTAGATAATATTCAAATGTCCATGGTTGATTGCTTTGACTCTCCCAGCCTTCTTCTCAGGCACTACACTAAAGAGTTCAACTGCTGGATTCTTCTGAAAAACAATGAACAAATAACACTCCAGTTTCTGTCAGTTAACAACTTAACACAGAGAGTTAGAGCATTTTCATATGATTGAAATTTTGTAAATTTCAGTGCGCCTGACATTGAGCTCTTGGAAGCATCTCCTCCTGCTAAAGCTCTGCCAGAGAAGCCAGCGACACCCCCACCACAGCAGACATGGCAGACAGTTTTGAAGAGAGATTTGGAATTCCTGGGGGTAAGTGGCTAGCCTCCATTGTCAACTCCAATTCAGGCTGGCTCTAGAAAATAATATTTGGATGTATTAAAATTTCCTCCAGTGGGCTGATGAGGAGTGATAAGTCCTGTAACATTTTTGATAGGGGAGGAACTGATGGAACTCTTTGCACATTCTGGGAAGAGAGAAGCATTTTCTCAAGAAGACTTTAAGTTACTGGGACATGGATAGAGAACAGGAATGAAGGATCGATACGTAATGTCTGTTGTTACTTAGATAGAAAAACAATTACTCAGTCCACCATAACTATGGAAATAAAGATGTATGTGACATGTATTGACCATGTGCACATTAGAGTCTACTAGTCATAGTTCCGTTCTTTATACTGAAAAGAAGACAGTAGAGAATCTCACATTTGGTTCAATCTCAGGAAGGCATGAGACACTAAAGAGATTTCTCATGTTCAGTTTTACAGAGAAATTGGTATACCCTTGAGAAAATATATCCTAACTTTATAAAATTCATGTTTTCCACAGGCAACACAAATTCTGGTTGGCTTGATATGCCTTTGTTTTGGAACAATTGTCTACTCTGCACTCCATATTTCAGACTTTGATGAAGAAGTACTTTTATCGTATAGAGCGGGCTACCCATTCTGGGGAGCAGTGCTGGTGAGAACACATCTGTAATTGTTTCTGAAATAATGCTGATCAGAGATTTTCTCTTCATCAAATCTACATATCTCTAGCATTTTGATAAAATCTACAATTTTTCACTTATATGCATATAGCATCTATAAATTCAGTTTCCAAAGCTCTCTCCACATATAACTCATTATCAAGAGCAAAGGATTCTTATCACCCTTAGATGTGGTTTAAACCACTAACATACTTATTGACTGAAAAACTTGAGACTGTATGAAATTGTAAAAATAATACATTAATATTTAAGATATTAAATTATTTGCCTAACACTTGTATTCTAAGAAAATGCCATTAACACTCTTAATAAAATTACATACTAAGTACATATATTTTATCCATTAATAAAAACTAAAGCTGGAGAGAAGCCTTAGTAGTTAAGGGTGCTTGCTGCTCTTCCACAGGACCCAGTGCCATGTCAGGTGCTCAAGATTGCCTGTAACTCCAGCTCAAGCAGATAAGAACCTTTTTCTGGTCTTTCTTGGGTCAATATGTCATACACAGACATACGTACACACTTGCAGATAAATTTTTTAAAAACCTAAAAAAAAACCACAATAGCATAAAAGGTCATCTTTAAGAAGAGAGCGGGGAGCCAGGCGGCGGTGGCGCATGCCTTTAATCCCAGCACTCGGGAGGTAGAGCCAGGTGGATCTCTGTGAGTTCGAGGCCAGCCTGGGCTACCAAGTGAGTTCCAGGAAAGGGGCAAAGCTACACAGAGAAACCCTGTCTCGAAAAACAAAACAAAACAAAAAAATCAAAAGAAAAGAAGGGAGGGGGATATTGCTCAGGTGAGAACAAGGTAGCAACACTGGATGGATATCTGTTGGGCCCTTGGCATACTTTTGGCCACTAATGTGCTGGATTCCTTTTTAAACATTCTATCTAGAAAGCAGGTGGCTGAATGAGAGCACATTCTGTGTATAGAAGAGTTCTGTGTATACAAGGTGTAGAATTTGATAAAATTTGACTCTCACACAAACATAAAATGTTAGCATATATGTCACCCTCAGTACAAGGAGTCTGTCTATGATTTTGAAAGTTACATTCACTTCCTTTCAACTCTTCCTGTCTTGCTGCTCCCTGACTTCTCATCCAGATCACTAAGACTGAAAGTTAGTTTTCAATGTTTAGAGCATTATAGAAATAAAATTGCATGCTGCAAGGTCTCTTGTGCTTATCTTCCATCATTCCATATCATTATTGTGTATTACTTTTTTTTTCTTTTGAGACAAGGTTTCTCTGTGTAGTTTTGCGCCTTTCTTGGAACTCACTTTGTAGACCAGGCCAGCCTCGAACTCACAGAGATTCGCCTGCCTCTGCCTCCTGAGTACTGGGATTAAAGGCATGCACCACCACCGCCCAGCTCATTATTGTGTATTACTTTTATTGATAATTCAGTTATAAAGATATATTTAAATCTAAGAAAAATATCACATTGGTTTGATACAATGCTAAGTATGTAGTTCTCAGATCTCTTGGTCACTTGCTCAAGAATCTTCTTGACCATCTACCATATTTTCCTTGAACTTTCTTTCTACTTTATTTCCAAACATTTAGCTTTAAAATTGTTTATTTTCTCCCCCTCTCCCATGTGTGTGTGTGTGTGTGTGTGTGTGTGTGTGTGTGTGTGTGTGTGTGTGCATGTGTGTGTGCGTGTGTGTGCCATGGTGCTCATGTGGAGGTCAGAAAACAATTCTGGAATGCCATTTCTCTCTTGCTACCTTGTGGGATCCAGGAACTGAACTCAGGCCATCGAGCCTGTGTTGTGTTACAAGTACTTCTACCTGCCGGGCCATCTCATAGGCTCAGATATTTAGCTTTTTTAAGTGCTCCCCCCCCCACACACATGCCAATTTCTTAGAGGGTGTTCTGAATTTGAGGTCTCACCTTTTACTTTTACTAAATATTCCCACATTTACATTTTCATAGTTAACTGTACGACCATGTGCTACTGAGCAGCCTCCATAGGTCTGCACAGCATGGATACAGGTTTCTGACCTGGAGGAGCCGACAGCGTAAAACAGGTCATGTGAACAAAGCATTACAAAATGAGACTGCTATTGCCCTTGCCCACCAGATGCCACTAGCCCCTGCTGCCTACCCAGGAAGTAGCAAAGTCTACCTCACAGGGGAGCCATGTAAAAAAAAAAAATGAAGAGTCACAGGTCCCATTAAGATCTAATGACTAAGAGCCTGAATGTTCCCTTTTCTGTTTCTCACGGTGTGGCTCAGGCTTTCCTCAGACTTACAGCCTTCCTTCTTCAGCTTCGTAACTACTGGGATCACAGGCATGTGCCACCATACTCAGCTCAGAACCTGCATCTTATCAGGACTTTCAGATGGTTTGTATAAGCAACTGACTTTGAGAAGCACTTTATCGGATATAATAATGAATACTGGTCTCATGGGAGGTTTTAGTAGATAGCCTTATGGGGCACCTAAAGCTTGTTTTTGTATTTCAATGGTAGAGGAAGGAATATCCCAGAGAGCACAGACTCACTTTGCTTTCTCTCCTGTTTCTTTTTGGACAGTTTGTTTTGTCTGGATTTTTGTCAGTTATGTCTGAAAGGAAAAACACACTGTATCTGGTGAGTCTCATTATGTTTTTATTCATTCTTCCAAGTGGAATTTCAGGGGTGTTAAGGGAGACCCCCCAGTATCAGCTGTATTACAGAGAGTGTGGATATGTGGTTCACCTCAATTCCTTTGCGATGGAAGGCTTTTTACAGCAAAAGTTGGATACAATTATTAGACACATAAATTGTGTCACTTAATACGCAGTGAAATTTGATTATTTTGACACCATTTAAAAGGGACCCATGCAGGTATTGTCCTTGTACGTATTTAAACAGAGTCTTACAGCTGTGCAATTAGTTTCCAACAGAGATGACTTGAGGATAGACTATGCATGTATGTATCCTTTTTTTTTTTAAATGCTGAGCATTGAGCCTCTGACCTTCTGCAAGGCTTACCCCTGTGGTCCACTGCTGAGCTACAACCCCAGCCCTTATGCTACTCTTGAGGGCCTCTCAGAGGGAAATGGATGCTTACTAGATGATGAGTACATTTGCAAGAGTTACCTATTTAACTGGAGTTTTAGAAAGCTTTGAGTTACTGTACAGGTCCAGCTCTGAAAGACAGATCAGTTGATTGGCTGCTGCTGCATGGAACTGCAGGGCTGAATGTCCTTTTGCCAGCAGGTGAGAGGAAGCCTGGGAGCCAACCTTGTCAGCAGTATCACTGCAGGAATAGGGATCGTCATACTGATCCTCAATCTGAGCCACAGTTTCGCTTACATGAACTACTGTAGGGACCTAAGCGAGGACGATGGCTGCTTCGTGGCGTCTTTTGTCACAGTATGTATCTCCTGAGGAAACGCTGACTCTCTGGGTCCCGGCCTAAGTGTGAAGCCCCATTTCTTTTCCAGAGACAATATCCCCCATTTGGAGTTTCCATCTCATAGAGTTATGAACTTTGAGGGGTTCATGGCCTTACTCCCACTCCTGGCCACATTCCTTAAGCTTAGAGTTATCATCTACAAATATCCACCCCTGGCTTCCTGTGTGCATGTCAGTTTATAAAGTGTGCTCCTGAGAGAGGGTGGAAGAAAGAGCTTCTGTAAGGGAAAGGATTGGGTGGGGGGCGCATCTGTCTGTGACTTTGCCTGTTGGTCGGTTGTCGTTTGGCAGGAAATGGTGCTGATGATGCTGTTCCTCACTATCCTGGCCTTTTGCAGTGCTGTGCTGCTCACTACCCATAGGCTTGGAGAAGAACTCAAAAATAATAAGGTCAGTAGGAAGTCCTGAAAAGCATGGTAAAGAGTTGGTGCTTTGTTCTTTTAAAACACGGTCTTAATTTTCCACAATTATTCTTTTTTTTTCCCTCTGAAAAAGTACCTCTCAAGAACCGGCTTTCATATCTCATATTGGAAGACTTATTTTTCACATTGAAATGGCATGTGGTCACAGCACAGTCCCCTGAGGGTTAGACAAATGGAATCTTTATAATTATAGAAACTGTGGGTGCTTTGAAGGGGCTACGTGTGAGAAGTGAGTTAATGGCAGTGTGTGATAGAAACATGCAGCTGTTAGGGTTTTACTTTTCTTTTTTGTTCCCAAAGAGCTTGTTCATTTGTTTCTGCCCTCTCCTCCCCCCCCCCAAAATGCATTTTTCTTCCTCTCTCTATTGCTCTAAATAAGCCTCAAGGTTTTTTTCTCCCCTGACTCATGGTGACAACTACGTTTTCATCTGATACACACATTCATTATACCCTTGGTGGGGATTTCCAATTCTCAGCCACTGTACTAACTCCAATCTGACAAATGGAACCTATTGCTCCCCTCTATGTTCACTTTCGACACACTCCAGTTTCTACACTTCTTATAACCACAGTCCCAAGTCAGAAGATAAACCGTTTCAGAAACAGAGTAGCCTTAGTAACTTGTCACTGACATGGTTTCTTTTAGTCCCATTGGCCAGCTCATCTGATTTGATTTCTAGACATTAAGGGAATAATTTGAGTGTCGTGAGAGTTAGGGTGAAATTAAAAAAGACAAAAGAAGAGATTCCTGTTCGATAAACCTTCTAGCAATGGGAGATTCTGGGTAATTGATAGGGATCGTTTTTCTCTTTATTAGGTCACAGATGATCGTCTTTATGAAGAACTAAATGTTTATTCACCAATTTACAGTGAGTTGGAAGACAAAGGGGAAGCACCTTCTCCTATTGGTTCATAAGCATCAGGGGACCAGAACAATCTGCTTCATGGTAGACTCCTGAAAGCCAACCTTTAAATGCCTTTACAAAATTTTGGCAAAATTGGTTTGCTCCACATTCTGCCGGTTTTACAATTAGACTGTTCTCTGAAGCCAACATTTTAGTTACGCTGTTTATGATCTTCTAACCATCCCCCTTTTTGGGATATCATCCACTCCAATTTCCTTGTTCTGTGTCACAGTCTCACAAACATTCGTTCTGGATAGTCATCAAGAAATAAGTTAGCTCTTATTCTATGCCCATAACCATGAACAAAAGGAAAACAAGGAGGAAATAGGCTGAGAATTTAACTAAACTTAGATAATCTGGTAATATTTGCTTTTCATTCTTTTTAGAATTCTAAACAACTATAGTTTGGCATGATATACATCTACCCATATTCATTCCTACCTATATATGTATTTTAACATGATATATAATTTCTATATGGAAATATTTTGCACCCCAGTGATAATGGCTTTTTCAAAGGTACAACATTTTATAAAAATATGTGTATCTTCTAATTCATCAGTATATTCACTAACATAGTCATTGTTCAGTGATATTTACCAATTGTTGAGTAGTGAGTAGTAGGGAATACCATTAAGTCATTCAGTCTAGTAGATGGATAGGCAAAATCAAGGACACTTTGAGTGTTTTATCATTCAGGTAGACGTGATGAATGAAGAATAAATTGATTAAGACTTGAGTTGAAAGGAATTCAATAGAAAAACAAGAAACGATCATGTATAACACATGTAGATAAATATATACCCCACATTTGGTAGATCTGGGCATGTATGCTTAGAATCCTAGCACAAGGCCAGCCTCCATTACATAGAGAGTTAGAAGCCAACCTGGGTTATACAGGATCCTACATCAAAGGACCAAAGAGGAAATTGGTTTAAGCTGTTAACACTTTAAAAGATAGTTAGACAGACAACAGTTTGACTGATATACTGAGTGTTTGAGTCTTTAATAAAACTGAATATTAATAACATTGTGGGGGAGGGAAGCAATAATATAGAAATCTGAATGGTGAAGAGTAGCAGAGACAAACTAAATATAGAAGCTTAATTTTAGATTTATATTCTGAGACCATTATGAGATGTCATTAAATGAAGAAGATCAAGATGCTAGAAGAATTATTTTGAGATAGAATTAAGGCAAGCTAATCTCCGCATGCCTATACTTAGAAGGGGAAAGTAAGGATCAAATCCAGAAAGCATAACAACTGGAAAAGCATATTACAAAACATCAGACAGCAGGTAGCCTATGGTGGAGAAGAGTTAAGCAAAGAGAAAATGATTAATCACCAGAGACTGTACATGGGAAAGAGAAGAGAAAACAGCAATCTTAAATGAACACAAAATATAAACAGGGGTTGGGTTGGGGAGGGCAGAGGGGCAGAATGTTTGCAAAGGTGATTAGAGAGGAGGTTGTGAATAGGAGGTAGTAAAAAAGCAACCGAGAAAAATGCTTTTGTTGTTGTTGTTTAGATTTTTAAAAGAAATAAAAAAAAGTTCATAACAATCTACTTAATGGAATCCAATCAGACATTGAAAAATCCATTTGGAGAATCAGTTATCTGCCCCTTGAACATACCTAGAACATATTGGGCACACTTCTATAAATTTTCATATCTTCATACAGCCATAATTCCTTGCCTGACAGTCTCTCTAGCCACCGTGTGAGTAGTAGAGTGTGCTTGTGATCTCCTTATGCATCATTCAGCTGGCATTTGTGTAATGAATCAGATTTATTTCATTTGATTTTTGAGCGTGCAAATAAAGTTGAGAGAATATGGGGGAGTTTTGAGGAAGAAAACTGAGAGTGGATATGGTCATATTTCATTGTACACATTCATGAGGTTCTCAAGAATAAAGAAATCATTTAAAAAAGGAATCGTGTAGATTAAAACAATTAATTAAGTAGTGTCAAGAACAAAGAGTAGTTTCTAGGGTTTTCTTCCCTACTCCTTTCCCAGTAGAACTGTGTGAGTAACTCTGAAGGCAGAAAACAGAATGTGGGACTAGCTATCAACATTTTGTAAATAAATTGGGTAAACAGGACGTGATCATGTTTTACTCATTGCTACTGATACTAATTCAATTGCTATATGAGTTTGAGAAAGTGGCTTCTCTTGGTGAGCCTATATCATTCAGGGGTCATACAAGAGGCACAAGCTATAGGAGGCAATGATAGACAGATGGACAAGTGTAAGAAATAAAATACAAATGGACAATTCCCTAAACCATCGGTGCATGAGATAGATGTAAATTTATTAGGCTTTAAATAGTCAGGAGGCATTGGATCCTGTCTTTTCTAGCAGCTGGCGTCTGCTTGCATGGGCACTTTTAGTTTATCTTAGGGCTAAAACATTACAATCTGTTAAATAACTGAGGCCATGTATCAGGAAGGAAGAGGAATGTTTGAGCTCCAGGATGTACACTAGATAAGATTTTAAGTTCTCAGAGCACAGAACTTAAACTAGAAAAAAAAATTTAAACAAATTTGGAGTGATGGCTGTATCAGACATTGGGAAGATTTCTCCTCCAGAAGCACCCAGCCAATGACAGAGAGCAAGTGAGCAAAGGATTCTGTTTAAAATAAATAAAAACCACGATTTCATGTTAATCCATGTGTCATCTTCATTGACCTTTCTTTGGGTTAATGACTTGTTCAGCAGAAATAAAAACAGAACTGCCAGGCTTTTGCTACTTGAAGTGTCTTGAATTTGTTATTAGAGAGTGGGGAGGGGTCTTGTTTCTCACAATAGAGACGTACAGAAGAGGATCAATTAGGGAGACTGACTCAAATGCTTACAGAGGCTGATTAATCACTTGACAGGGTATTTGCAAGGTGGAGACCCTGAAACACCAGGAGTGTGGTTTAGTCCAAATTCCAAGTCCTCCAGAATCAAGGAAGCTGTGGTGTAGTCTGTCTGAGGCCTTGGACATACAGACCAAGCCCAGGAGTGTACAGCCTTCAAACTCCTTTTCCCACAGCTGACCGAGCTCGTGGGACACAGACTCTGGACAGACAGGGAGGGAGCCTGCATGGGACCAACCTAGGCCCTCTGCATGTGGGTGACAGTTGTGTAGCTTGGTCTGTTTGTGAGGCCCCTAGCAGTGGGACTAAGATCTGTCCCAGGCTTTTTGGAACCGATTCCCTATGGTTGGGTGTCTCGCACAGCTTTGAAGCAGTGGGGAGGAGCTTAGTTGTGCCTCAACTTGATATGCCACGCCTTGATGACTCTCGTGGGAGGCCTTACTCTTTCTGAGGAGTGGATGGTGGGATGGTGGGGTAGGAAGGAGGAGGGGGGAGGGAGTGGGAGAAGAGGAGGGAGGGGAAACCATGGTTGGTGTGTAAAATGAACAAAAAATATTTAATAAAAAAGTTCCTTTCCCCGTTGTAACTCAGAACATAGCAGGCACCCCCACAACTTGCTTACAGTAGGTCACTATCTTTTCTGCTGTGTTTCAGTCAATCAACTAATGAGCTCTTAATGCCCCCCTTTTTTAAATTTTCTGTTTATTATGTGTCCTTCACCTTATGTATCTTGATCACATTCATCTTCCCATCCTTCCATATCTGCCTGCCGCCCTTACAGCCTTCCTGAAAAATCAAATCAAATAAAATTTAAGAGAAAATTAAAAACTAAAAAGAAAAACCTTATCATGGAAGCTTAGTGCAACACAGTGAGTCACGCAGTAAACCCCCTTTTCCACATATCTTTACGTGCAAATGTTCACTAATGAGTCATTGGACTAGTTTGAGTCCTCTGGCTTCTGCTACACTATCAATATTAGATGCTCACTGAGATTCCTCCTGGATATCTTGTTGTTGCCCTGAGTCATGGAGATCGTCCAGCTTTGGTTCTGGAGGATGTGCCCCTTCACATGCTCCAGCAGATCATGGATGGGGTGGATGCTGGGGTGAGCCAACTCATAACCCTGGGTCTGGGCCTGGGTAGTTTCAGGGTTGGTCAACTCACCAGCTCTCCGCTGTCCTCACTACCAGAGTGAGTTCTCCTGCATTGCCCCAGCTAGTTTATCCTATGCAGCAAGGAGCAAGTGGAGGGAAGAGTCTCCTGCTTTTATGCCCTCAGGGGCAGCTCACCTACACTTACACCAGCAGGGCCAGCTTGACTGTGTTGCCCAGGTGCAGGGGCCACTCACCCGAGTGCTGCAGCCGGTGAAGGGCAGGGACAGCTCTCCCACTCTTATGACTTCAGGGCCAGCTCTTCAACTTCCACAGGTGGCAAGGGGTGGGGTGGGGGTGGGGCTTCTCTCCCTTGCCCACACCACCACATGACAGAGGTGGGGCCAGATCTCAGACCTGTTCACTGAGTCCCACCAACAGAGTCAGCTCTACTGTACTGCGCAGGCGAGGTGCAGGGACCACTTTCCTGAGTGCTGCAGCTGGTAAGGTGGAGGGTCAGCTCCCTCAACTGCTGCAGGTGTCGGGGGAAAGGGGAGAGGGTATCTTTCCCTTGCCCTCACCACCACACAGCAGATGAGGGGGAGGATACCAGCTATACTACTCTTATGCCCCCAGGGCCAGCTCACCTGTGCCCCTGTCTACAGAGTCAGCTCTATTGTGCTGCCCAGGAGAGGTGCAGGACCTGCTCTCCTGTGTGCTGCAGCCGGTGAGGGGCAGGACCAATTCTCCCTAGTGTTGCAGCCAGTGAGGGGAAGGACCAACTCTGTACAACTCTATCCTCTCAGCCTTCAGTGGTATCAGAAGCCTCAGAAGCCATGGACATCAACACAGACCATGGCCGAAACAGGACCATGAGCCCAGACTAGGGCTCTGGCAGCATCCCAGGCCTAGATATCACCATGGCCCCGGGTGGCAATCAAGCCACTTACCTCAGCCTGCTTCTCACCACTTTTACCTCTTCAGATATGCCTCTGTCTACAGCACATGAACCATCTGTCTCTTTTTCTCTCCCATACCACACTATACATGTGCTCATCATAATAGCACCTGACTGACGGGCACTGCAAAGGCCATGCTTTCTAATTGGTACTTTGGGCAGCCACCTGGGGCATGAGTCTCCTTGTCATGCTCAGTCATGATGGCACTGGGAAGGGCCCGTTAATGACCTTCTTAATCCCCAACCTAAAACATTACATTTAAACTATCTGCTTAGAGAGTTCATATCAATAAGTGTATCTAGAGCCAAATTCAACAGACCTTTGGTTGCTTTCCTATACACGCTTAAACATCTGTTCTCACACACATTCCCCAGACTTCTGTGTAATTGTAATGTAGAAAACTCAGGCAGTCATTTTCATTTTCTTAGAGATCAATAGATGACATGGCTTTAAATGATTATTTTGTGATTAACACAATGTTTATTTTTACTTTGCCAGTGTGTGGTGTATGTGTGTTGGAGGGGCACGTGTGTACACATGTGGAGGTCAGAGAGACATCCGGTGTCTTCCTCTATCACTGTCCACCTCATTGCCTTGGGACAGGAGCTCCCAATGAGCTGGTAATTTTGTTTACCTAGCTTAGCTAGCCATCTCTCCGGCTCCATGTATCTCCGTTACTCCTCTGGGGTTATAGACATGTGCAGCCATGACAGACTAAGGGGTAGGAGGGAGTATTACATTATTTTCTAAAGGAGAATATTTTTCATTTTGCTCTTTATTCCGAGAGCCTTCTAAAATTCAGTATATATCCCATTAATTTCTTAGATAATTATTGTATGAATATATATATTCATATATATATATATATGTCAGGCTCTGTATAACTGCCAAACATGTCACAAATATAAAGCAGTATCTTCTTTTTAAGAAAGCTATTAAACTCTTTTCAACATTTAGTTTTTTAAAAATTGAGATGTCTTGAGAAAGATTATGGGGGACTGAAAATACTCAGATACTTGTCATGAGTGGAGATGGGAAGGGCTGAGTATGAACACCTGCGTTGTGAGTACTCAGTTCATAGACACTTCACTTCCTCTAGTGATGCCCTGAATGCATGGGGTAAACTGTTTCACAGAGGCTCATCTCTGGGTCTGCTCCTGTTTTGACTTCGCTGCTTCTCTTTCTGCTGATGGCTAGAAAGACACTCCTGCATCCTCATCTGTTTTAACAGAAGGTGTTTTCTTTTCCATTAAGGTATGTGGAGGTGAAGGAGGCACCCTCAAATACTGTAACTGAACCTCAGTCTTAGGTCCAATTAACCTGGGACTCAGGCCCGTGATCTTCTCAAGAATGCTACCCCCTTCCAACTATAACGATGGACTGAGTGCTCACTCCCACCTCGTCTGGATGTAGCTTTTTGTTTATTGATTTTCTTTCCCAGATGAAGTAGATTTGCATCCATGACTTCAGGTTACCTGTTTTTTTTCTGATTA